TCAACCATTTTGCATTTAATTGCTTATACGATGAACTAATGCGGGGGGTAAGACTGTTGCACAGAGAACTATATAATATATTTTGAGGAACATGACAATAGCAAATGATAATGTAGGAAACTGCAGACAAATATACATAATCATTTGCATAAATGTATCAAAGCAATCGCAACTTAAAATAATTTTATGATGTGCACAAGTGACTAGATGATGTGGAGGTTGAACAAGTAGTCTTGAGAATTTCATTTCTGATATGAGAAATGCACCAAAGCGACTGAGAAAAACTGTAACTGTACAAAAACAATCCGTTATGCTGCTTGATATTGCAAACAGGCATTTGTTATTATAACATATATTATTTCATTTAATATCATAATCATAAACACATTGGTTTGTAGTGCAAATACTTTTGCCATTTACTGCACTTGTTATTCTTTTAGTTATCTTTAGTTTAGTTTATCGGCTAATAAATCAGAAATTCATGAAAATCAAAATAATTAATAAAAAAGCAGCTTATTTTGATTTACATTTAGTATTATATTTTACTTACATTATATTTTACTTATAAGCTTATTTCCACATTCCAAAATAAGATGGACTGCCTTCATTCTTTGGATTTTAAATACAGTTGCTAAATTTTTAACCTAAATAATGTACTAATGTTTAAACATTTCTGAAAATGATAATGGAAAAAAAACAAGTAAATAAAAAAAATAATAATTGTAGAACAGTAAGGCTGATGATACACGGGGCAACTTTGGGCAATGTCGCGACTTCAACAGGCAACCAGGTGAGACACAGGGCCCACGACCAATTTAAAGGGGTCATATGATGCGATTTCAATTTTTCCTTTCTCTTTGGAGTGTTACAAGCTCTTGGTGCATAAAGAAGATCTGTAAAGTTGCAAAGACTAAAAATCATTGTAGAACAGTAAGGCTGATGATACACGGGGCAACTTTGGGCAATGTCGCGACTTCAACAGGCAACCAGGTGAGACACAGGGCCCACGACCAATTTAAAGGGGTCATATGATGCGATTTCAATTTTTCCTTTCTCTTTGGAGTGTTACAAGCTCTTGGTGCATAAAGAAGATCTGTAAAGTTGCAAAGACTAAAGTCTCAAATCCAAAGAGATATTCTTTATAAAAGTTAAGTGTCAACCATGCCTACCTAAAACGCCTTGTTTAAACACACCCCCACATGTCTACATCACGATGTGGGAAGATTTGTATAACGCCGCCCAAATGTTCATGCAAAGAAAGAAGGCGTCAGATGTGTGCAGTGTATTTTATGGAGGACTGTTTCCTGATCCTGGTAGAATAGACTACAATGCCGGCTGTTCTGACTCACAGACTGTAAGTAAGTTTTTGTATATTTAAAGAATTTGCCACTGACAATTCAAACACGAGTTTTTTGGGCAGTGTAGAGTAGCACTTGTTGTTTGTCATTTCTCCGATCACAAATGCAGACATGGTTTTATCTTTATGCGGTGCGATGCAACGCAACGCATAAAAAGACAGTATAAGTCATTATATTCTTTTTAGCAGCATCATATGACCCCTTTAAAGTATCCAGATAGAAATTCTCAATGGAAAAGTGCCCAAGCAACATTGCTCAAAAAAAGTTGGCCCGTGTATCATCAGCCTAAGTGTGTGACCCATAATTGAACAATGCCAGAAGGTTAAACAGTGTCCTTTCCGTCATTGCTTTAGCGTTCAGCACAAGCGGTTGAAGATGACAGCGAAAAGATCTTCACCAGACTGCAGCGCTCCGTTGAAAGAAAGCATCTGGAGGTGAAAGAGCTGATCAGAGGTGAGGAGAGGACAGCTCTCAGCCAGACGGAGAAGCTTCTGGAACGACTGAATCAACAGATAATTGAACACAGGAGAGGAGAGGCCGAGCTAGAGGCACTCTCAAACACTGAGGATCATTTCCATTTCCTGCAGGTAAAGTGCTGGGTCTGAAACATGAACTGAATTTGTTTATTTGTGCTGGAGGTTACGAAACTGAAACACTATGGGAACCACAAGGCCATGGCACAGCATTCTCTTTGTTTAGCCTCTATAGGGGAATTTGGCCCAGCAAATATAAAGGTGTGGGTTTGCTTACTTGCTGTTCGCTAACACGCTAGCTTTACCTGTCTGACTCACCTGCGCAGAACTATAAGACGCTCTGCACTCCTCCTGACGCTGGGGGGGAACCCAGCATCGACGTCCATCCGTACTTCTCTTTGCTGATACTGAGAAAAGCTCTCACAGAGCTGAGAGATAAAGTCAACGAAGTCTGTGACAGAGAATCAACAAAGATCGCAGAATTAGGTGAGTGTAGAAACTCAGATACACAATGTAGCTGACTATGGTGGACTTAGTAACCACTTAAATGCACTAAGGAATTATGAACTGATTTGAAAATAAACATTTTAATAAATAAATTCACTAACTGACAAATAATTAGACATTCAAAATAGTTTTATAAATAATGCAAAATAACATATTTTGTAATGAACTCATATCATTAATTAAATGTTCAAAATTCATTAAAATCATTAGAAAATGTAGTTAAATAACACGAAAACAAAAAATAATACATTGTAAATGCCACAAATTACATAAATAGAAATTTTTTAATATTTAAAAATAAAAATGAAGTTAATATTTTTTTTAATTTAAAAACTAAATATATTATTTCTAATAATAAATACCAATCAAAAATGAAAGATAATTAGTAAAATAAAAATATATTTTTTAAATTAATTAAATTGTAAAATTTAAAATTACAATTATTTGTAATTGTAATTTTTTTTAGGGATTTTAGGGATAATTTATGGGTAGGGTTATGTTTAGGGGTAGGGATTGGGTTAAGTCTATATTTTTGGACAGTAATGTTGACCGGGATCAACAAAAGATGTTGATCCTGGAACATGTCTTGCTTGGCAAAATCATGGCCTCAACACCTGATTACTTAGAATGATATAAACATCAGCGGGTGATGCACAAACGGCTCTTGACAGCGGATACCCTTATATTTACAGTTGATGAAGGGCACAATCAGTCAGCTGGAAACTCCCCGAGCTGTCCGTTGAACAGTGATACAGGTACAGACACTCACATCCCTCCCAGCAAGTGAGTCAGCAAACCACATCAACTCCCCCATGTTTACATGTTTACCACTGTACATCAAAACTCTTCTGACGTAATTCACCTCACTGACCTTTTCCAGCCCATAGACATTTACACCAGACTGAGCCGAGGACCAGAGATTTCTTACAGTGTGAGTTCAGCATTCATTCTTGGATGAGACCAAAGACTTAAGATATACATATTACTTATGAATAGGATAAAGTGTAAGACGCAATAATGGCGGAATATCACTGCAGCTGCAGTTAGATATGGAAGCCTGTTTCCGCCACGGGATTATACAAAAAAAAAAAACCAAAAAAAACTTTTTTCCTTCTCACAATTGCGAGGTTTTTTTCTCACAGTTCTGACTCTTCTCAGAATTCTGAGTTTATATCTTGCAATTCAGATTTTTCCAAATTGCAACTTTATTTCTCACAATTGCGAAGTTGGGAATTGGGAGTTGTGAGAGTCAATTGTGAGTTTGTTTCTCGCAAATGAGTTTAGCCTATGTAAGACAAGTTTAAAATTGTGAGTTTATATCTCACAATTCTGACTTTTTTCAGAATTGTGAGATATGAACTCACAATTTTAAACTTGTCTTACAATTCTTACTTTTTTCCCTCAGAATTGTTTATCTCTCACAATTCTAACTTTTTTCTCTGAACCACACAATTTTCTCACAATTGCAACTTTGTAGGCTCTTCCATAGTAAGTAGCTCTGGTTACTATCCACCTTATTTTTCAATGTGAAAGTAAGCCGTTTTCTGTCAATGTGCGAGACTTCCGGTTCTTTAGCCGCTGTAGGGAAATAACGAGAAGAATATCAAAGTGCAGTAATTGGTAAAACAGTCTGCACTACAAACCACTGTTCGTAATTAAGATAATACATTCAAATAAAGTAAAACACACCAGTTTGAAATATCACTCTGCAAAATGAGCGGTTTTATACAGCTAAGAATAGCTGGAAGCGGATGACACCGGAAGCCAGACACATTGAGCCACAGAGTAGCATGACTTAAAGGGACTTCTTAGTAAAGTATCCTCTCTCTTTCAGACTGCTGCGATTTGATATTAGATCCAAACACAGCCAACTCTTTCCTCCGCCTTTCTGGAGACCGTACAGAGGTCACGACCAACCTTGAGCCACAGCCGTACCCCGATCACTTCATCAGCTGGGCTCAAGTCTTGTGCAAAGAGGGTCTTGTCTGGATGTGGATATTGGGAGGTGGAATGGAGAGGCGGTGGAGGAGTTTCTATTGGCGTTTCCTACAAAACTGGACCAAAAACTGGGATGCAACTCAAAATCGTGGAGCTTAGATTTCGCAGAGTCTCTTTGTTTGTTCCAGCACAATAAGTTTAGTGTAGAAATACACACTCCAATGCCTCAGAGTCGGCGTGTATCTCGATCACAGAGCTGGAATGCTGGCGTTTTTTTGCATTTCTCTGGCAGACGATACCATGATTTTGCTGCATCGAGAGCAAACTACATTCACTCAGCCTCTCTACCCTGGTTTCTGGGTCGGACTTGGATCTACTTTGAAACTCTGTCAAACTTTCAGCTTTTCAGCTTAGTTATACATTATGTGCTCTCATTTTGTTTGAATGGACAGTTCACCCCAAAATCAAAAGCATGTCATTCGCTCACCTTTGTGTTGCATGTTTTTTTCTCTTGTCGCTTGTTATTGTAGAGGCTAAACTGCCCATGCAACATCATGAAAAGTAGCGCTCTGACCTCGATATATCTTTTTGTTGGAATGACCATTTTCATTTTTGGGTGAACTTACCTTTTAAAAAAAAAAAAAAAAAAGATGAATATAATGGAAAATTGTAAAACCAGGACATGAATAAAGAGCATATAAATACAGTCAATACAGCAAGCTGGTTCACGTGGCTGAACAGTTTATTGGTAACCGTGTGATATAAAAGCAGCAGTAACCCAGTGTGAGGTGGTTGTTTGAGGCGAGAGGCTCAGATCTTGTTGAAGGCAACGATGTCGACACTCTGGACCTACAACATAATGAGGAATTAACGTAGCATTGGTCAATAAAATCTTGAAATATTTTTCCTAACAGTTTATAATGTAATCAAAATGTCAATCTAAAAAAAAAGAAAGTCAAGAACTTATTTATTTGGATTTCACCGAACCATAATAAATCACATTTTATTTTAAAAGTATATTTGTGAATACATTTAGCCCAATGTTTTTTTTGTCATTGTGATCATTTCCATTATAATTCATTTATAATTTCCATTATTTTATTTTCATGACAATTAAGTTCATTCCCTCACAATCTGTCCTCAATTATTTATTATAGTTACTGTAGTACTGTAATGCAACAAATAAATACACACATTTGCAAATACATTAAAAAATTATATTTTACTGCAGTATAAAAACTATAAACTATACAGTAACTATTTTATAAACATTTTTATCCAATTTATATCATTTAATATTTATTAATATTAATATTTAAATTTATATAATGGTTTAATTTATTTTCATGGCAACTGTTCATTTGTCCTCCGTTTTATAAAAATTACTGTTGTGCAATAAATACATCTGTCAAGTGTTTCTGAACTATAAAATAATTTTATAATATATTTTACTGCAATATATACACAACTATAAAAAAACTGATTTTGCTTTTAAATGTACCATATACAGTATAATGCATAAATTGAGCCTATATTCAAGACCGATGTTCTATTTTTTTTGTTGTGATGGTATAGTCGTTATAAAAAAAAAATGAATTGAATTCTTTTCTTTAATTTCTTGACAAATTTAATTTTTCCTCACACATTTTCTTAAATTATTTTATTAAAGTTACTTTAATACAATAAATAAATAACACATTTGCAAAGCACACATCATTATAAAATTCAGTATTTTACTGCAATATATAAAACAATTACTGGATTAAAGTAATTAGAATCTAATGCAAAGGTACAATGCAAAAAAACAACTTATATTTCAGTTTCTTTATACAACATACAGTTTTTCTTTTGATTTTGGGGTGAAACATTCTCATATTCATCCTGCACTTATGTAGTCCTCAAATATGGTGATCTCCTCTTCCAGAATGTCTGTTCCCACTTTATCGTCTTCTACCACACAGCTGATCTGCAGCTTTTTGATGCCGTAGCCGACAGGAACCAGTTTTGAAGCTCCCCACAGGAGGCCGTCCATCTGTATGGAGCGCACGCACTCCTCCAGCTTCGACATATCTGTCTCGTCATCCCACTGATCAATGAAAAACCATATATTTGAAACTGAGGAATTATACTTGACACTTTAAAGATTGTGAGTGCTGTCTCGTACAGGTTTGACATCCAGCAGGATGGAGGATTTGGCGATGAGGGCTGTTTTTTTGGCTTTCCTCTGGGCATATTCCTTCACCCTCTCTGCTTTGATACGCTCTGCCTCCTCATCTTCCTCATCACTGCCAAACAGGTCAATATCGTCATCGTTGTCGTCAGCGCCATTATGTTCCTCAACCTTGGGCTTCTGGACAGGAGCAGCCTTCAGATGAAACAATATGCACATTATGAATGATAGCTGAATTTGTTCAGTGCACAAATATGGCCTCAGGATCACTGAGTTCAAGATGGCAGGATCTCACATCTACCTTTGTAACGGTAACAGTCTTTGAAGCAGGCGCTTGGCTCTTTTCCAGTACAGCCATTCTGGACTCCAGTTTGGACAGCACGGCTCTCAGATCATCCACCACTGGTAAAGCAACAGCTCTGTTAAACTCACAATGATCACGAGCAGCTTCAACACAATCAGCAACACAAACTGAAAATTCAGCCAAAAATCAAGTCAACCTCTCGGTCTGTTTCAAAGCGTGCTGCAAAAATAAAATAAAAAGAAATACATTTTTACAAATTTAGAAAAACAAAAACTAATAAACCACTATCAATAATAAACCAAAGTGAATATCAAAATCACTAAAACTTCAATTAAAACTGAAAATAAGTTAATCCAAATTTTTTATTATTTTAGTATTGGTATACTACTATAGTCTTCATTCAATTACAATTTTAAAGTTCCAGTAATTTAGTTCTTTGTTTCTTAATGCCTATATAGTTATTCATTTGATATTAAGTTTGTTATTTTATTAAATCAAGTTAAAACAATTTTAAAAAAAATTTTTCCTAGACAACTAACTGAAATAATATTTAATACATTTAATTTTATTTTAGTATTTCAATATTTATATTTATTTCAACATTTAAGTAACAAAAATGTTTTTCATAGTTTGTTTACTATAATAATAACCAGGGATGCACATAAGTGGTCCGCAGGTGCGACCAAAATAAGAAATGCGCTGTGTAAATTAGTTCAGAGCGTGCGTTTGCATACCGACATGTTTGACAGCTGTTAATGCCCAATTACCATTTTAGATCGACAAACTGTACTGTATAAGATTTCTATTCAAACTGAAAGCATAAATCTAGGCTACCAGCTAACGTTTTCAAAGCACAATGCAAAACTGTGACATTTCATTCACTGATGCTCTACAATCGGCAGCGCTAAACCTGGAAGCGCATAGACTTACTTGCCGGCAACCCGCCAAAATAAAAGCTTGCTGATTTTAAGTTTGAAAATGAAAAATGAAAATAATTCAAATTAAAAATAATAATTAAGGTTCAAATTAAAACAATAATAATAAAAAATATTAGCATTTTATTTTTTAAGTTTACTATAAAATAATTGTATTTGTATTTAATACTCCCTTTTTATTTTAAAATAAAATAGTATCATCACACTTTATTATTTAGTTTACCATTTTATTTAAAAAAAACTAAATAACGTGCAATAACACTATCACTATTATTAATTACTTTTTTATTGTTATATTTGATGGGTCACACCATGTGCCGTGTGAGGACCAAACCAAATCTCCAAGTTCTCGTATGAGAACCAGGCTGAAAAACTTGTGCGCCACTGATAATAACCCTCACTCAATTTTAATAAACACTACAACAGCATATAATTTCTATAAAAAAAATTATAGAAATAAAAAATTTCTAGCAGACAAAATATTGTAGAGCTAAGCATAACGAAAAAAAATTCCATGAATTTTCTAGGCCTGGATATCACAACTTTTCTTCCTGTGGAAACCTCGCACAACTTTTGAAAATCTGATCACAAATACAACATCCTGATGTCATTCCAAATGTACATGAAATCGTTGTCACTAAAAATGCAATGCACATATGATGATGATCTTACTTAAAATGCGAACAGTTTCAAAATTATTTGAACATCTTTTATTATATCGCTGCGTGTGAGCAGAGACAAATCATGCACTGAAATCTCACACAGTAAATCTTCTCACTTAACTTTCAATGTCTCCTCTCTGATTAGTAGTTGCTGCATCAGTCATAATTGGCATAAAGTTTAACATTTCTCAGCTGTGCTGCATTTATGGACATGCCCACATTCTGTGGCTTTTATCGCTTACAACTTCCAACACACACTGAGAACGAATGACCTCCAGTCTCTTTGTCACCACAAATCACTGTTGTTTGAACACTCCTAAGGCAGCATCCAACAGAGTTCACATCAGGAACTGGGAAATTGCTGTCTAGGTAGGCAACTCATTTGATTGTGGAACAGCCATCATGTCTGTTTGTCTGTCTTCTAATACGCACCTTTGTGCAGATTCTTGTTGTCCAGTTCCAGACTCTTTAGACGAGAGACCAGCTCACTCTGATCCTCAGACTTGCTGGCATTCTGACTCTGCAAATCAGATGGAGGAGAACTGAACGTTAGTGAATTATATCTCTAAGAGCTGACTGTAAAAAACACACCATGCAGGGCTGTGACTGCAGACATGCCAAACAAAAGGTTCGTCAACCTCAAAACCCACAGGAAATCATGTGGAAGCATGATAGTAGGATATTTTGAATAATATAGTTTCAGTTTGAAACACTGAAAAAAAAAATTTTCCACTTGAACTTGCATGCAGTTTACTTTGGTGAAGGGTAAAACTTTAAACCAATGCATGATGTCTGTGTCCTTAAAAACACCAGTCTCACAGAAAACAGGCCGTTTTGAAAGTGTCAAGCAGTAATGTGTGCAGGATCCATGCTGCTCCAGGCTCCATTCACATGCTTGTCACACAGACGTCAGGCTGAACCGCAGCACAGCACTTACGGTCTTCCTCTCCCGTGGTTTTTGCGTGCGAGCGTGCCCTTTACTACCCTGTAGAGCGGTCTTCACCTGAGAGTTTCACATTTAACCACCACAACCAGAAAACAAATTAGAGAAAGAGACAAAGATAAACTACTGACAACAACAGAGTTTTGTTCTATTAAAATTCAAAGAAAGAAAGCGACCAGAGAAGAGATGCATGCATGCATTAAATGTTTTCATTGGCCCTCAGTTTTTTGCTTCACTTTAAATCGGTCCTTTAATGACCTTCATGTTAAAACATAACTACAAGATCACCCAAAAATGAAAATTTGCTTAAAATGTACTCATCCTCAGGCCATCCAAGATGTAGATGAGTTTGTTTCTTCATCAGAACAGATTTGGAGAAATTTAGCATTGCATCACTTTAACTATAACATGTTGCTTCTGGTCTGTAATCCATAATGCTTCCTCCAGTGATAAAGTCCATCTCCTCAGTTGTCCTCTCACATCAAAATCCACCCACATGTGTGTTTAGGACTGTTTTTGCTCGTAAACAGTGCTTGATTTGTGCATATTTCTCTCCCGATTTAGACTAGATGACTTTATCACTGGAGGAAGCAATGTTATGGACTGGTATTTTAGCCAGAAGCTAAAGTTTAGAAATGTCTTGATGGTACAACCCCAATTCCAGAGAAGGTGGGACGTTTTGTAAAAATGCAATAAAATCAAGAATCTGTGATTTGCTCATTCTCTTTAACTTTTATTTAATTGACAAAAGTACAAAGAAAAGATTTCCAAAGTTTTCACTTACCAATGTAAATGTATTTTGTAAATCTGAACAAATTTTGATTTTGATGGCTGCAACACATTCCAAAAAAGTTGGGACAGAGGCAAAATAAGTGAAACGGTTATAGAATATCCACTTTAAACTGTTTTGAAACAGTTCACAGTAAGCAGGTGAATTGGTAATGGGTCAAGGTATCATGTTTGGGTATAAAAGGAGCATCTCAGTCTTTGCAAGCAAAGCTGGATCATGGCTCATCACTCTGTGCCAAATTTCATGAGAAGTGTCAAACAAATCAAAAATCACATTTCGCAATGCAAAATTGCAAAGAATTTAAGTCTTTCACCAACTACCACACGTAATATTGTGAAAAGATTCAGGGAATCCAGAGAAATCACAGTACATGTAGGGCAAGGCAGGAAACCTCAGTTGAATGTGCTTGACCTTTGAGCCCTCAGATGGCATTGCATAAGAAACCGTCATGCTGCGGTGTTAAATATAGTCACATGGGCTCAGGAGTACTTCAGAAAACTGCTGTCACTTAACAGTCTGCTGCTGCATCAAGAAATGCAACTTGAATATCTATTACTCTAGGAGAAAGCTATACATCAATTCTATGCAGCAATGCTGCCAGGTTCTCTGGGCCAGAGCTCATCTCAGATAGTCAAAAAGACAGTGGAAAGGTGTGCTGTACTCAGATGAGTCCACATTTCAACTTGTTTCTGGGAAAAATGGATTT